TAAAATACAAATTTGAAAAATTTAGACATACATACGGTAGAAAACAACAAATAAAAATTGATTTTTAAATGTCACTTTTTCCGGGAAATTGTTCTCTCCTATAGGTCAATTCTTTTGTAATAGTGAATACATCCTTTTGCACATATTTTTTAAACATTAATTATGACAAAATCGTACAAATTTCTCCGACTTTACCTGGCAAACATCATTCAGGTTACCTATTTGAATATAAATTTATGAGAAATATTGTTGATTTCTGAAAAAAAGTTTGTCTTATTTATCCTTAAGCCAGAATTGAAAGTCAGGCTAGTTGTTTACAAATATCAATAAAAAGGTTTTGGGAATTTACATACAAGGGTATGTACATGTATTCAAAGAAGCTTTTTTTTTTCCAGATTTTATATATAAATTTTCCTATAATTTCCGTAACAACGCTCTTTTTACAAGATAAAATTGAACTTTTTGAAATGTAGAATTTAAACCACATTATTGCTTTTAAAAATTGCTTTCCAGTCATTATAGCCATAACAACCATTGCCAACCAAAGAAAAAATATCACACTTCTTCCTTGAAAAATGTTTCAAGGACCTTAAAGTTATTATTTGGTTGCATTTCAACTTATACAAATCATGTAATTGCTTTTTTTTCCGAATGTATGAATAATCGAAATGAGTGAATAAAATCATTTTTTTCAAAACTTTGTTCCTATGGTATCATATGTTATCGTTGTTTTCCCTAATATTTTTATCGTGCGTATAACACATCAAGTATTTGACTTTTGAAACAGTCACTGTCACTTTTCTGCAAATCTGCTATCGTTAATAATAGGACTCTGAACATGATTAATAATGCTATTTTTCAGACTGCGGTGTATGTTGCCATGGTAATCATGATACATAGCAACTAATTCGCCTGATATGAGTTTATGGTATGAAATACCTTATCAAAGCGAATTTGAAGAAATCTTGTAGGAATGGCTCTTAACTTTCAAATGAAAACGCAATGGTATTCGATTGACACAAATTTATTTCCCATATTTTAGTTTAATCATCTTATTTTGGAATGTTTAGTTGTAAGAATGTGAAAATATAAAATACATGTATAATATAATAACGAGAAATGTTTGGCAATATTAAAAAGGGTCAACTCAAAATTTAGAATGTCAACAATGATAGTGAAATAATTCGAAGTTTGGTCTTTGTCAGACCTCGATAGCATATGGGGTGTTTTATTTCTTAAAGGGTATCAGTGTACCAGATTTGATGTCTGTCAAGCAAAGGTTTCTCGAGATTCTGAGCGGTCAATATATTCCTGTGTCCAGTTTGACATTGACGTTTGATCTCGCGACCTTAAAATCAATATAAAATACTCCTTAATGGGAACCAGTGTATCAAGTTGAAAGTCTATCAAGCAAAGGATTCTCAAGATATTCTTGTCAATATGTCAATATCTTATGTTCAGTTTGATCCCTGACCTTTGACCTTAATACCTCAAAATCAATTTCTACTCCCTACAGGAAACCAATGTACCAAGTTTAATACCAGTCGAAGAGAGGCTTTTCAAATTATTGAAGAAAAAATATCTTCCTTTTTCTTGAGTAGTATGACCCTTGACCTTTGACTTTGTGACCTGAAAATCAACAAAGTGTCATCTACTCTTTAAGGGGAACCAATGTTTGTCAAGCAAAGGGTTCTCAAGATATTAAGCAGTCAATACCCAGATAGCAAGACTACATCGGGCCAACGTTGGTTGATGGTTGGTAGGTTGGTATAGCGTTGGCGTTGGGCAGTAAATGTTGGCCCAACATTGGCCCAACGGATGATATGTTGGCGTGAAAGCTGGTCCATCGGTGTTGGGTATGCGATGTTGGGCCAATGTTGGTCCATTGTAGTAAATGTTGGCATGAAACATGACCATTATATGTTGGGCATTTGATGTTGGCCCATCGTGGGTCCAACCAAGTAGATGTTGGCTTAAAACAAAGCCACTGTGTGTTGGGATGTACTGTTGGCCCAACATAGGGCCAACCAAGTATTGTTGACATGAAACACACACATGAAATTGTGTTGGGCATGTAATGTTGGTCCAATGTTGGCCCAACGTAGTAAATTTTGATTATAATGAGGTATTGATATGGCTTTCAACGTTGGCCCAGCGTTGGTTCAACGGAGTGAATATTTGGATAAAATCAACTTTCGTTAACATACATGTTGGTGATCTGTTAACTATACATATTAAATTTGTATCTTTTAGAACCAATTAAGCTTCTTTCAATAGAGACATCTCATCTTTCGTTAAAATATTATGAACAAGGGATTATCTTAATAGCCCATTTATCAATAATTTACAGTGTATGTGTTAATAAAAACGAAAAATTATTCCAGAACCTAATTTATGAAAACAAGATTTTTAATACTGATTTATGTTTGTAATTTGTGTCCGAGACCATTGCAATTGATACATGTAGAAGTTTTAATTATTCTGCACAGTATATAATTTTGTAGATTCTATATTTAGCATCATGGAACTTAAAGTGCTGAATTTTAGAGCTCCAAATAATTAGGTCAGTGGTGAAATCCACTGGCTCAGCAGGTGACTGGCCGGTTTCCTAGGAAACTAGCCAGCTCTGTTTCGTAAACTCGGAGTGGTCACATCTTATCACTTGCAACACTTGAACAAAGCATATACATGTGCGTGTCCGTTTTGAATCGCAAGACAGAGAAAATGGATTGTTTTAGCCCTTGAAATGTAAGTATAGTCGTTTAAGGTGTGATTGATAGAATTTTATCTCTGTGAAAGTTTTAACTTGAGCATAGTTTGTAAAATTGAACAATGAAGTTATTCAAGAATTGCAATTTTCAAAATATGCATGTATATTTACTAGTAGTCTGTTTAAGTTATAACTTATAAGTACAATGTAGTAAGTGACATCATTTTTGAACGGATTAAACTGATATATTTTTTATATCATTTATAGCATCTGGTGGGGAGAAAACCCTTTGTGTTACAAGACCATTGGTGTTTGGAATGTAATGGACAGTGAGTGATTTATCTCAATTATCAGTGTAAGAGACATGGATTTTACAGACAAAGAAACAAGAACATGAACAGGAAAAAAGGAGTGAATGGTTCAGAAGTAATATGGGCAGGAGAACATTCCAAAGTTTCACAAATTTGAACACTGGGACTCTTATTCTAGAGGAATATTATATAGTGACTGAAGTGATATGGGATAGACTTAAGAAAACATTGAACTACCTTTATTTCCCTCTGTTGATTTCATTCCATAGGAGTGACAAAAAAATAGAACATTTGTTTGAGGAACAAGATAATTTACCATGCAGGATTTATTCAATCAATTGTATTTTACTCGTAATTATGGAACTAAAAAGGTTACAGGAATTCATATTGTTGAACTAAAATAATTCAATCGCCGATCATTTGCCAACATGTTTATAGAACGTAGGGCCAACGTTGGTCCAACATTCATTCTTAGCTTTAAAAAACATTGAACCAACATTGGGCCAACAGGAAGTTAAACGTTGGGCCATTGTTGGGCCAATGCCAGATAATTCACCATCGAATGTTGGCCCAACGTCGAGCCAACATGTTGGTTGAACGTAGGGCCGATGAGCAAGATGATGTTGGGCCAACGCATAAAACTGACAGAGGGCCAACGCAATTTTCACCGTTGGGCTTGCGTTGGCCCAACGTAAACTTGCTATCTGAGTATCTTTTTGTTCAGCTTGACCCTTGACCTTTGGCCTTGTGACAATGGGGTTAATAATCCATAGGGTGTAACAGTGTATGTTTGATGTCTGTCAAGCAAAGCGTTCTCAAGATACTGAGCAGACAATATTTTCTTTATCAGTTTGATGTAAGATATAAGTTGAATCACTTCGTCTCTACAAACAAGTACACTGAAGTTGATATTAAAAGGTTACTGGAATTCATTTATGTAGCCTTTGAAAACCAGTTCTTCCAACAAACTGTTGGAATTTCGATGGACATCATTCGTACTCCTTATTATCCAACTTGTTTTTATATACCTATGAAGTGGAATTTATTCAAAAACTTCTACGTGACGTGAGAAAAAAAAACGCTTATACCACATAGTCTGCCACATCTGTTTCATATTTGGATGTTTTACTGACTTGGTTGATAAAGGCCAACTAACAACTAAACTGTATGACAAACGAGATGACTTCAGCTTTTCCATGGTCAACTTTCCTTTTTTTATGTAGAAACATTCCGCTATCACCTGCATCAGGTATTTATGTCTCCCAACTCATTCGATACTCAAGAGCATGCTCCGAGTACGATCAATTTCTAAACCAAGGCAGGCTACTGCCAGATAAATGGATGCTACAGGATTTCAACTACCTCGTTTAAAGTCTGCAATTCGTAAATTCTATGTTCGTTATGTTGACCTTCAAAACAAATATAACTCGTCATTGGGTCGTATTTTGACTGACATATTTCGTACCAATTTTAAGGTCTTTGTTTTTACTTCGGAATATTTTGTCTACCTAGTTAATAAAAAGGGCTCACGGCGAGTGTCGACAGGAGGTGCTTACTCCTCCTAGGCACCTGATCCCACCTCTGGAATTTCTAGGGGTCCGTGTCTTATGCCCTGTTCACGGATTTTTATTGTTTGTGGGTTTTTTCTGACATAGATCACTACCTGTTCTTTATCTTCACCTTTTTCATTTGAGGGGGGGGGGGCACAATAGCACACACACACACACAAACACACACGATTTTAAGTCATGAAGTTTCCACATAAGTCATTTGTTTGAAGAAGATAGATAATAACTCAATCGTGTAATATAATAAAAAATGTTAGCAAATATTTTAAAAATTTTAGATATATAATTATTATTATTGTCAAAAGCCAGAGGTTTTAATTCACTCACGGAAAATTGCACCATTACAGAATCTATATTCAATTCAGAACAAAAATTAAAAAAAAATATGCATTTCAACATAAACTCTTTTTACTAATAACGAATCCAATGGTCAAATGTTATGTTTTTCTGTTGTAATTTTCTTTGCTGCAAGTAAACAGACATAAGAGCCATTGTCTTGATGTTCTCTGAGAGGCTAGAATGGAGTCTGTCAATTCTGACTTTATTATCAGCAATGTCAGAACGCTCAAGCAGCTGTAAACAAAAGAGGAAATACCTATAGTTTCACTTAATTTGTAAACAAAAAACAAAACAAAATGTAAAAGAAAAATCATTATGAAATGAAACCGATCTTTGTTTACCACTACGCTTGCGACTGATATATGTTTCCCGTGTTTAAATCAAAAATGTTTTATAGAAAAAGTAATTTTTTAACAAACTCTGTCCACACTTTTTACTCACATTCAATCGTCAATTATTACAAATCATAAACCTTTTGACAAATATTGATTACCTCTGATGTTCTTGAAAAGATAAAATCCACCTGACTAGCGAGTGAGTTGAACTCCTTCCCCGGAGGCGACTTTCTTGGTATGTCTGATATGGACACAAAGATTTTCTCCATTATTTTCATAGACTGCAAAATACAAACCAATTCTCAGAATTAAATTGAACACACTTTTAGTTCAAGTTTGAATTTAAAGACATTGACATATTCTTAAGGATATTTCATTTTGTAAGGAAATAGAAACCACGGCAGTAAAAATGACACTTTGACACTGAATTTTTCTTGTTAACCGATGAGACGGAAATAAATTGACCACTCTTAACGAGGTTGGATCCTGATATTTAAAGTCTTAAACTTTTTTTGTCAAGTATATTTTTAGTTTCTACACACATAGCTTAATTAAAAATAAGAACAAAAAATGGGGGTCAATATGCTTCTTTTGGCGCTACAGCACATTCAATATGACCTTTTTGCACTGACATTTGTGTCTTAATCAAAAATCACTTCTTCGACGTTTTTCCTCCAATGTTTTTATCCAAATAAACCATGGGACAAAATAAACTATTATGTATTTTAAAAAAGACACATTAAAATTGTGACTAAGAAAAAGTTTTAAATTTCTTCGCATAATCAATTATTTGACCTTTCTGCACTCACAAAATGTGATTTTTCTGGTATTAAAAATTTAACAAGCAAGAAAATTATTTTAAAGTCTTAAACTTTTGCTGAATTTAAGCAGTTTGATAGAAGTTATCTTATATATTCAGAAAAGAAAATCGAAAGTGGGGGTCTATGATGTAAATTTTTAGATATTACTAAAAAGGTGTCAATTTTATGTTAAAATTGGCTCAATTTTTTACTGGACTTTCAGAATACATTTACTATATTTGTCACAATATGACGAAAGAATTCATAAGAAATAATTTAATAGATATTTCAGAACCAGCGTAAAACATTTCACTGCAAAAAACAACTCTGTGTGCAACCAGCATGGAAAAATAGGAATCTAAACTTAACAGTACTGCATATATTTCAAAAGGGAAAAACTGATCATTTTCTTCTAAAAAACCTTCCGCCACAGAATATAGTTCCTGGCTTAGTCCTACTTGAAAGGAATTTAATCGCGGTTTTTTCCATTGGATATAGTTTAATTTGCATTGTAGAATCCAGATTTAATGTTAGAACTTAAAAATGATACAGAACTTTAGAAATAAAGGTCCAGACCAAAATCTACTCAAAAGCACAGGATCGAACGTCCTTAAATATCTTAAGCAGGTTTAACTCAGAAAGAAATTTCACTAATGATATTTCCTTGATATCAGATGATGAAAAACGTAAGGCAAGATCATTGTTTGGAATGATGAAACTTTTTGTTTAACTTTAAATATTAAAGGATAAAAACATTCTTAAATCAACAAAACATGTACCGGTACCTTGATGAGAACATTCACATACTGCATTTGAGAAGTTATCTTGTCTAGCTTTTTCTTGAACTTCAGGAGTTTGTGTTGGTCAAGAGTACGACAGATATCACTAATCATCGTCCTCTCAATGACCTAATTATTAGTACATTAGTATTAAACTGCTCTATATTTTAATACAAATTTAATTCAACTTCTTGGTAAGAAAGATCATTTATGAAAGAACACATTGAGTTTATGCTATGACGCTGAATCTAAAATAAATTTTCAATTTTTAATAATTTTTTTTAAGATTTTTTATTTCATTTTATTTATTTATTTATTTATTTATTTACTTATTTATCAATTTGATATATGATGTGATGTATGGTGTGACATGTGAAGAAACAAAATTAATGTACTAAAAACAGTAATAAGTATAAAATATTTCTAGTTAAATATCGCACAATTAAACATAAAATAGATGTTATTAAATTTAAAAGTGTTTTCTTGCAGAATTGAAATTAAAATGATTCTGAGAATTTCACTTAATAAATACTAGTAGCTTATTTAAGACATGTCGAGGTATGTCGAAATTTAACTTATATTGAATCCACGCATAATCTTTCATCCATCCTCATAATTTGTTTGAATACAAAAGTCAGAGAAAATTCGAATTGTAATAATATAGTTTTTGTCTGCAGTGAATGCATAACCATTCATTCCTTCATTCTATGATTTCGCAATCATTAGCTACAGGTGCAAATAACTTTGAGAATAACGTCATCTTTTAATATAGCTAGTCTTACATTTTCTCCTCTTACTATCGCCATTTATTAATAAATGAATATTTAAAAAAATATTTCTGTAAATGATAAGTATAATTATTCTCTCTCTCTCTCTCTCTCTCTCCAAAAACAATAATAAAGTATTACACAATCAATAATAACTAAGTCGAATGTCAACTATTTTTAATTTCTGCATAATGCAAAATAACAAGAATTATGTCGATAATTACTTTTTGATAAATATTTCCTCTTCTATTAATGATATAGTTGTAAATAAATGTAAAGATCTTAAACATGAAAGAACGTTAAAGCATACCTCTTTTTCTTTCGATAGAACTTTCTTCCAGTCACTCAATTTAAGTAATCTCTTACCATATTCATATGCTTGGTCAAGGTACTTAACCCCAAACTTTAACTGTTTAGTATTAACCAAGTCTATTTGCTTAAATGAAAAAAAAAATCATTGTATCACTTTTTCATAGTAAAGATTATGTCTGCAAATTTTACTTCTGTGTTATGTGTGTGGCATAGCGTGCTGTAAAAAATGGAAGACTATCTTTGTGCAACTGATGATCTGCAAAAGGTAGTTTTTGTCTAAACATTTTTTCATTGCTCATCCTCTCCTTATACGCATTTTCTTCACTGTGTCAATAAAGGTGATGTTTTAATATAATTAACTTATAAAGCATATATATGTATGGGTATAAAGTTCTTTGTATGAAGTTGAAGGTAATTCAAACAGTTGAATTATTTTTAGAATTAGATACTTTTTCTGTACCTTTGTTGGGATTACTCTTGTGCACTGCATGTTAAGGTCCTTGAGGCAAAACCAACAGAAGTAATTTCCACAAATACACATCCCATAGTTACACTTTTTCGAAGCCTTTTCCACCATTAAATTACAGTGCGGGCATGTCTTCACATTCACCGTGAAAGTTTTCGTAGTGTCAATTTGCTGAAGCACGTCTGTGAGATACATTAAATAATTAAGATCGAATTAAAGTAACGAGGCCCATGGCCTTGACTGACAACTGAGTATATACAAGTTTCTCAAGCTATAAACACTTCGAGCCTGGAAGTGGTCTGGACATACGTGACAAAACTTTTACAGGTAGGTGTGGACTCTAGTATCATATCCATGCAGCTTGTCTCCTAGAAGTAGATAATTTCCAATACTAGTATATGAACAACTTAACTTGGCTTGATCCCTGGTCCAGGGACGCATCAGTTTTACAAGTGTTATTTTTTGATAGATGGCTAGCTGCTGTATATGATCATGCAAACTATTTGCTTTCTACATGCCACGAGTAAAGAGGAATATTCTCAGAGAGAGAGAGAGAGAGAGAGAGAGAGAGAGAGAGAGATTTCAATATTTCAATGTATGATCAACTTAGCCCCCACTCTGAAATCTGAATCGTGGACCAGAGTGCCATAAATCTTGAAATTTTTATAAAGGGCTTAGTTTTAATTAAAATGAATCAAACATATGGTCTGCCAGATGTCCATGAGTAAAAAAGTAGATTATAGGCGTCTTGTATTTAAATACATAACCAACAAAGAGCTCAACGTTGAACCCAGGAGGCATCAATTTTGCGATTTTGGTCAAGACTCAAGTACTCGTGGTAACTAATGCTATATATTTGTCTGATACATGGCATTGGGTAAAGAAGATTTTCAAGAATGCAATTTATTTTAAACTATACGACTGAGTCCCGCCCTGGGACCTGAACCATATGCCAGGGGCTATGAATGTCACATCTTTTAAAGAGCTACACATCTTTTAAAGATCTAGAGAGCTAAATGTTCATTATTTATCTGCTAGATGTCTATGAGCCAAGAAATTATTAAAGATGCGTATTTTCAATATAAGGCTTTATAGGTAGAGTGCTAAGTGTTTATTATAATCATGAAATCCAGCTAAGCCCAACCTCAAGACCTAATCCATTGAAACAGAGGATATGAATATCACAGTTTTAGTTAAACGTTGAATACTCATGAAAATCACACAGTTTGCCTGCTAGATATCCATGAGTAAAGAAAAAAAAATTGTTAGATACAATGCATTTTCGATATATGACCAACGTAGCCCTAAGCTGTAGCCTGAACCTAGGGGCCATTAATTTCAGAATTGTGGTAGAGAATTATTGGTTACTGTACATGTAAACACGCTAACATTCTCCCTGCTTGATTTCCTGGAGAATAGAGAAAGAATTTTGAAGATTGTATCAATTTTGATGTCTGGTCACACCCACAAGTCTTTCCCAGGAAAACATTTGACGATGAAATTCACAATTTTGTCCCGTTCCTCTTTTTCCAAGGATGCTGATTGCCACATTTTGTTGAAATCCGTTGAACAGTTTGAGAAAAGAAGCTGAAAATGTTCAAAAGTTTACGACATGCGCACACAAAGGACCATACACGATGGCAGACAAAAACAGATACCAACACGCCACCTCAGTGACTCGGGTAACCTAAAGTACAATGCAACTGTGGAGTGTATATATATTTTCAAACCACTTAGACTTCTTTTAATAATTATTACTTTTTCATCATCTCAAATTTGAGGAATAAGACCATTTCAAAAAAAAAATCGCAAAATCTTAAGATCAAAAATGTAGTAAATGAAAAGTGCCTACAGATTTCTCAGATTGAGAAATGAATTCCGTTTAAGAGCTTTATAACCATAGCTTAGTAAAATGAGGTATACGACGACATAGTTTTAAGTTAAACATAACGATAATCAAATTTAATTATTAAACGTATTTTGAATACAAAATGAAGAAAACCAGTCATAAATATGGTAGTTTTTTTCCATATCGGACACAGAATCCAGATTGCCCACAGTCTCTCACAAAAACGTAAATTTATGTTTTTGATGTCTTATTTAAAAAACAATATTGAATTAAATACCGGATATAGTATCTGGATTACTTTTGACCTGATTTAATATAAATTGAATTCCATGAAGATGCTTATTTCCTACCAAATTTAAATATAGCCATACAATATGGAGGAGAGTACTTTGAATGTGTGATAATGATGGCTCTAGCACCAAATGACAGCATAAACTCATTTACTAGATCTTGACCTTAGCACACCAGTATTGAAAAAATTTGTTTAATGAGTAAGTGTTTGTAATTGTGAATTTGATACATAATTATTTTCTCTTCAGTTTTAAAGTGACAATTTTAAGTCAGAAGTTTGAATTGTCGTACAAAATATCTTTATCATCGGTGTATGGAATTATCTTGTCCGGAAATTCCTCTCTCAGTATACTATTTCTACTAAGTCGAGTTCATCAATAAATTTCATCTCCATTAAGTGTCTGATTCAATGCAAATACATCCCCCTTCAAAAACAACTCGTATTCTATTTGAAAAAAAAACCTCTTAATTCTCTGGCAATGACTACAGCTTTATGAAAAAAAAAGAAAATCTTCATCATCGTATGATATTCAACAATTGAAATCTGCAGTATTCTTTCTGTTACAAAACGAGAAGTTTGATAAATGTAGTTTACCTTTTGTAATATCAAGGACTTTCACATACGCCTTTATTTGCTGACAGGTTGCTGGCCAGTGGGGTTGTTCACAACATTCCAGGCAAAATTCCGTTTTGCAGAGACATTTCACACCCATCCTCTTTTTGTTGCTTACTGATTTCGGTGAAATGTTTTCTACTCCCTGTACACCTGAAAAGGCTTTGGATTTAAATTTGAATATCAAGCATTTATACGAAAAAAAAAACCCAAACATCATACAAGTCATATTTTTAAAACTGATATTGTAGTATTCATTGTTCTAAATTTAACCCTTTGCCACATAACATTCAAAATCCGTTTTACTTTTTACTACGGTTTACTTCCAATTTTAACATAGATAGTTCAAAGCTGTACTTCATATTTTTTCCATTTTAATGTTGAGTATTTTTTTTTTTTTTTTTTTTTTTTTTTTTTTTTTTTTTTTTTTTTTAGAATTTTTAAAGTCTAACCGTTTGGAACCAGCGACAGAATGAAGTCACATGTATTATTTGGACACCACTTCCATATCCCACTAGACATTACCATCTGCTCTTGCTGACGTTGTATCCACTTACAAAATAACTGGATAGGAACTAACGACATTATAATGAGAGGGTCAATCTTTGACGTGCATTTGTATTCCTGAAATGATTTTACAATGATTGGTATACTGACATTTTAGAGAAATATTTTATGGAATGTATATTTAATGGACCTAGTTTCTAGTAATTATGTCATGCTATATCTTTTATAACGAAAACTCATTGTTTTGATACAAAGGTAAACGTACATTGGATGATGTTTTTAGATTAATATTTGAGACAGTTTTAGAGTCCTTATGTGTGTGGGTGTGTGTTTGTGTGACTAACTGCAACAACTGTCTGTATATAAATTTCTTCTTTGATACAATGAAAAAAAAATCGTACCAAACATGAAATAAATCTGGTACTAGTCCTGATGTTTTCCACTGCATATCTATAGAGACAATTTCTGCAGAATGGGTGTTGACACGGTAGAATAATGAGCCCTCCTGTGGAGTCCTCACCTCCATATAGCGAAGCAAAACAAACTCTGCACTCGAATTCAAATGCAGAATTTTGAGTGACAGAATGGAGGAAGGTAGGCAATTTGTTCATCTGAATTTCAAAATATAAAACAATGTCCGACGTTCATTTCTTGTAAATTTTAAATGCTGACAAAGTTATTTTCAATTCCGAAATTAAACATCATAACAATAGATACAAGTGTTTTACCTTTCGTTGGTAATGTTTTGGTGGACAACACTCCAACATGTTCATATATGCTTGTTTGACTGTTGTTATCCTGTAGGGAACCCTCCGCAGCCAATCATAAGCTGGTTCCATGACGTAAGATTCAAATGAAGGTCTCTCTTTTTCACAACTTGTAAAAAACGGTCGAGCGCTGTAAAATGTATTGCTATCATAATAAATTCTTCTTGAAAGCCTGGCATTAACTAAACCTTGACAATGTGCACATTTTGCTTACTTTGAGTTAAGTGACATTAGCTCTTTGGCAAACCTAAATATATCGTCAACTGAAGAAATCCTATTTCTAAAGTTTTGAAGAATCATGTCGTCCAACTTTCTGGCAGAAAACTTCTCATTATCAAGGACTATTAATCTTTAATAAATGAAGAAAAAAGATTTCCATAAAATTTTCAATATACTTTCATTCATCTTTGAAGAAAATCAAAATACTTATTCATATTTAGATTTTTTTTCATCTAAAATTTATTATGAACATTTTTCTGGCAGATTTTATCTTAACCCCCACCACCACCACCACCATCAAAAAAAAAGCAAACGTCGTTTATTTCAACTTTCCAAAAAAGCCATATTGCAAATTCCAGTTAATAAAATATAGTCCACCAGAAAACATAATACATGTATAAAATAGCGGTAACCTGTATCTGGAAATCCCCGTATATTCTGATGACATAGCGGAATCGATTATCTCTTGTACAACCAACACTGGAAAATCAATATTGAACAAGTCAGACTCATGACAAAAGGTTGAATGGTTACTTCCCTTAACCCCTTCTTTCTTGAACAGCTTTTCAACTGAAATAACATAAATGCTGGGGTATACGTTTGTTGAGCAGATCTCCGAAATTCCTTGTAAAAAGTCATTCATTTCTGTTTTCTTGAAAGACAATATTGCACCTCCAGTTGGAACACTCTTACAAAACGCAAAATCTTTAGAGGGCTTTTCAGGATGCGAATTAAAACACGTGTTCTCTTTGTCTAGTTCTGTTTTTTCTTTGTAATCTGTCATGTAGATGATATGATTTTTTCTTTGTAAGTCCGGGGATTTCTGGATGGTCTGTCTTGTACGTGTTTTCCGAAATTTTGGCTTTCGCCTGATTATCTTTAAACAGTCTGAAAGAAACACTTGTAAGGTGGTTTCCTTCTTAACTCTACAAACTTCATCCTTTTCAAAATCATAAACAATTAAAACTTCATCAGACTGATAAAAGTTGTTTGCTAGGCATGTGTTTTCAGAGAAACCATAATTGGAAATTTCTTTTTTTATACACGAACTCTCGTCTTCCAAAGACTTTTTTCCGGACAAAATTGCCAACTTTCCGTTAACAAATCCTTTCTGTTTGAAGAGAGCATTTTTGGCGGGATACTTGAAAAATTCTCTGGCCCCTAGAAATAAATAATTTCAATTCAGATTTAGAAATTCGTTTATATTTTCCTATCAGTTTTGGAGAGATTACATAATTTATTGGGAACTAATTCAGTAAAATGTTTTTGAATAATTGAACAATGTATATATTTGAATGAGAACTCATTTGCTCTAATAATTATTACTCAAATCTAAAACATAAACGCAGGAATATGATATCTTTATATACAAATCTTTTTATTTAACCTTTTTACATCAGAGCTCGAAACAATTTACATGTACGTAAATTAATGTTACAATGTAAAAATTAGAGAATTCATTTTGCCTCCACAAATATTTCTTTGTTAATTCAAATGGACTCATGTGCATTCAAATTTTATAACAATAAAGGTCAAAGGAAAATACATTTATATGATGTACATGTATCGAAGAAATAAAGAAAAGTTTAAATCTTTATGAATTTTTCACATGTACTCAAATCCGTTGAAGCTGGAACTTTTAAAAAAAATGATTTTTCTCATTAATTCAGTAATTTTTATCAATAAGTCAATTCCAATCCTTACCTTTGAACATATACCTGGTCGAATAGTTACCATGGCGAAGGAAAAATCTTGATAATTTTCCTGGAGTGCTAACTTCATATCGAAACTCTGTAACATCTTCGTCTCTATCATTTTCCTCCCGCAATCTGAACAGGCGATATAAATTATTTGTATGAAATATGAAGATATCGAGCAGTGAACAGTATTCAACTTCGAAAGTCCAATGAAACGATACAAATTTAGAGCAGAGCAAACACGGACCTCAAAATTTAGAGGTGGGATCAGGTGCCATGGAGGAGTGAGCATCCCCTGCAAACCGGTCACACCCGCCGTGTGCTCCTTGTCATGATCGAAAAAAAAAACGGAAAAATTCGTAAACAGTTCAGTGTATAAGTAATGGCCTAATAATAAGTATGAAAAATATCAGTCAGCATTTGACTAAATGATAGGTTGTATGTGCTGACAAGTTTGTATCGACCATAAAACTTGCGAAATGATGACTTCAAACGAGACTGTTGATATCCTTGTTTCATCAACTTGTCAATAGTTTCCCTCGTTGTAGAAATTGTTCATTGTAAAGCATGCTCTTGCGTATCGAATTAACTGGGAGACATAAACCCCATATACATAAAGTTCAAAAAAAACTTTTTAACCAAGCTTTTGTGTATATATTGAAGGCACATTTTTGAAATAAAAATGTTGACACAACCAAAAAAAAAGTTATGAATAGTTTATATATATATATATATATATATATATATATATATATATATATATATATATATATATATATATATATATATATATATATATATATATATATATATATATATATATATTTCATTTTCAATCTTCAGGAATTTGACAACATATTGCTTAGTTACACATAAATACAAAATCAGCATTCTTACTGTGACGTCAAAAAGCGCTAATTTTAATTTAAGCATTAGCAAAGTTAATTATGACATCACCTGACAGAAGGATCTACATTTCATATCAAAACAGGAAGTAAATTTAATATTAAAACCTTCATGTCGTGCACTAGTTTCAATCTTATTTATGTGATAACCTGCGCCGGTTGCGTTGAAAATTATATTGGTCAGAAAGGAGACACCTTATGACACAGAATGATCGTACACCGACAACAAATTAGGGAACCAAAATACCAGTGTACCCCCGTCAGTGACCATATTAGAAACTATATATATGTATGTATGATTGCTGTCAGAAAAGGATAAAAGTTATTTTAGGAAGCAGAAATAAACTAATAGTCAACTCACTGTTCAACATCATATTTTTTTCTATTGTCAATTTTCTCCATGTTCTTAAGGAGTTCAGATTTCCTCTGAATTCCTCTTGAATGTAGGTTATGTCTTTTTTTCTTCCTCACAGCAATGTTTTTCTCAATACGATCCCCTCCCAGACATTTCCTCTGTAGATCCCAAAAGTACGATGCTGATTTCGTGGGCTTGACTACAGGCAATGGTGTTTTATTATCAACGTACAGGACGCAATCGTTCCAAAACCATTTGTTCCAAAAATGTACATTTTCCCTTTCTGACAAAACAATCCTAAAATCTTCTTTCGAAAGTGCCTCAATGTTATTTTGAATCCACGAGGAAAGTGTCCATCTTTTGTGTTTGTTAACCGAGTAATCTACGATCCACGGACAGAAAATAATGTCATCAAATTTAGTTTCAACATCTTTTAAAAATATGGTCATTAAATTCGTTCCATTGTGGATAAATTCATCCTCCCTTCGGACTATCCATTGCATTTTCCCTAAATTGATGTTCTTCATTAATGTCATTCCATCGTGGAGAACCCAATCTTTCCTTCTGACTATCCATTGCATTTTCTCAAGATCAATATTCTTTTGCCTGTTTATGAATATATATCGGATATATCCATATTGAGGATTGGAAAAGAAAAGACTCTTGTTCATGCTATTTCCTGACCTTTTCCCAAAGCGTATTGTCTTTTTAACCATGGTTAAATACTTGATTCGACAATTTGAATCTTGATTTTTCTACAAAAATAAAATGAAAATTGTATAAATATTAATTATAAAATGCACAAGTTTTAATTAAAATTTCGGTTCAATTTATAGATTATATGATATAAGGCGCATTAATATTTGAATGCAGTTTTGAATGTGTTTGGATGTGTTTCTAGATGTTGTCGTCCTGTTAGTAAGCGATCACAAAGCCCCAACAAACATAAACCATGATTAAGGATACTTAACTATAGTGTACTGTAATAGTACCTACCTTAATACTTTGATTAACGATGAAAAGTCACTTTAGAATCTTTTTTGAGATCAAGAATCCTAATATTTCTTAAATTCAATACCAATAATGTAGATTTTAAAAAATATAGTTAAATATACAAATTATGTTTCCTTTCAGATGTGAATGTAAGAAACGGGAAAAAATAAATTTTACCAATCTGCAATTAATGCACAGTAGAAAATGCCGCGATTTACTACAGTTAAGACCTTTATACTATAGTAAACCTAAGTTAGTTATAGAAAATTGAAAGTATTATTATGCGGAAGAAGAGGGCTTTATTTAGGACCTGTTTCAATCAGATCATTTGCGCCGGCTTATGATTTTCAGCAATATCATTCCTAACCAGTCTTCAAGGCTGCAACAATTGCTGTTTACTACAAAACTTACCGATTATAACGGTATCAGTATTACTGGATTTTTTTTTTAATGATAAATTAGATTTATTGACCGTTGATATTTATTCAAACATTGTATTTGAGAATTGCTATAATTTTTTCAAAACAAAGTTCTTTGAAATTAATTAAGAAAGATCTCTGAATTACGAGAAAATTACGAAAAAAATAATTTCGTAATTACGAGAAATATTATGAATATAGAATTGCATTGCACAAAAACCATGAATTGTGCCGAGTGAATGATTTTATCAAAACATGTTACCGCTTTAAGATTCCAAATTTGCAAATTTTTGCATAATTATTTAGAGAATCTAGAATAATGTATATATAGCGTTCCCAGAAATTATTGAGAAGTTTTTTCAAGATACATTTATCTAAAATGTTGGATTGATAAAATACAATATAATTCAATGTTATTACTTTATTTAATGACAATATCCAATACTTTCTAATGATACATACAGTTTTCATGGATAACCTCCCAGTTATTTTATATGCTTTCTCTTGTCTGCTGATGATCAAAATAACTGCTTTGAAAACAGAAAGCCTATATATGCTATGTATTAGTAAGGGATTGTTAAATTTGGTGATATTTCTGCAACACCGAGCATTTCACTGTTTACTTTGTAATAAGTGGCACAAAATATTAAAAAAAAAGAACTCAGTTAAGGAAAATAGTGTGTAGGCTTTGTAAACAATCTAATCAAAATTAGATGTTCCAATCCACTACCGCTTCTCAAACAATCGGGGTCACGTCAGAGCGATTTTTCGATTAGCCAGGGAATCGAAATCGTCGCCTCCGAAATCTTGGCTTATAGTTCGAATGCGTTTTTTTCACTGCAATACCTAAACGCCCGAGGAGTTTCGTAATAAACAAAATATGCACGGCGAAGGCCGAGTTATGTATCAATGTTCGTGCAAGATATCTTATATATAGTCTGTGCTTTTTCGTTTGTGTTATTCAAGTAAGAATGCCAGATTGATGGACTGTATATTTTCGATATTTTGTCCCACATGAATCAATAGCAGACAGTGGAATATTCAGTGTTTCAGAAGTATCGCTAGTTTTGCAATTCTTTGACAATAAACATCTACAATATGCTTTTTTCATAAGCACTCATTTTGAACATAAGCAATCGACCGTAAGTATACAAAGGAAAAGTAAGTTATTCATCAAAACTGCATTTAAGATAATAAAGTAGCAAGTATTGTCATTTGATAAAATACTAATTTCTCTAAATATAACTATGAATATTTTAAGTGGTGTAAGTATTGTCATTTGATAAAATACTAATTTCTCTAAATATAACTATGAATATTTTAAGTGGTGTAAATGAGATGTGGATACAAATTCCAATCAACTTTTGGAAAATTTGAAATCACAAAATTTTACCAAAATCAACAACATAAAAACTTACGACTTCTCATCTTTATATACAAAGACCAGGCTTTTTGACATCATTGACAGCTGCTTTTTTAAAAAATGGAACTCATAAATTTACTTACCTTGTCATTGGTCATTTTGTTAAAAAAAAAAACTGATTGTACACACAAGTACTCTGAAGTTGTTATATAAAAGATGCTTGAGTTTCTGATTGACAATATCTATGTGGTTTTTGGAGACCAGGTCTTTCAACAATCTATTGGAATTCAGATGGGTACTAATTGCGCCCCGTTATTAGCAGACCTATTTTATTATTGTATTCATATGAAGCAGAATATGTTCAAAATCTTATACGTGAAAAGAAGAAAACACTTGCTATGGTCTTCAACTCGACATTTAGATATATCGACGACGTTTTGTCAATTAACAATGGTTGTTTCCATTCTTATGTCGATATATCTCGGTGAGCTTGAAATAAAAGATACCACATAGTCTGACACATCTGTTTTATATTTGGATATTTTACTAGAAAAAGACGATAATGTTAATATAACAACAAAGCTTTATGATAAACGTGATAACGTTAACTTTTCAATCGTCAATTTCCCTTACTTATGCAGCAATATACCTTTATCACTTGCATACGGGGATTATATCTTTCAGTTGATTCGATACGCAAGAGCATGCTCTACGTATGACCAATTTCTAAAACGAGGTAGTTTATTGACAAACAAGTTGATAAAACAAGAATATCAGCAGTCTCAATTAAAGTCATCATTTCGTAAGTTCTATGGTCGATACAATGACCTTGTCAGCGAATACAATCTAATCATTAAGTCAAATGCTGACTGACGATTTTCATACTAATTGTTAGGCCATTATTTACACACAGAATTGTTGACGGATTTCCCCCGATTATGACAAGGAGCACACGGCGGGTGTGACCGGTTGGCAAGGGATGCTGACTCCTCCATGGCACCTGATCCCACCTCTGATGTTTTAGAGGTCCGTGTTTGCTCTGCTCCTGATATGTATTGTTTATTGGACTTTTGAGCTTGAATACTGTTCGTTATTTCCATATTTTGAAAAGACATATCATAAAAAATATTCTCAATAATTTCTGGGAACACTATATAGAACAACTGTCTGTGTTTCTCTCTTTTTAATGATTAATGATTTCATTTTTGTTTTCGGTTTTACATTGTAATCAATCTGTATGTTTTCATGTAATTAATGCATAAACGCCGGAAACCATTATGCAGATAACAATAACAAATACAACAGTAACCAAATATTCCTTAGAGAACGAACCATGCAAAAAGATGGAGGTCAGCGGCAGATGATGATTTCAGTCTTAAGTGGGATAAATCCTTCAAAATATCTTGGATCGCCTTCAAACTCAGTGGGTCCACCGAATGTCCCTTCGCTCTTTATAAGTATTTTAATTGCAAGTTTTACCAAAGTAGAGCAGTATTTTCGGTAAACACAATTACGAATTTAGGCTTTAAAGTTTCTTTTCTTTTTCACATCAACAAGATAAATGTTTGCTCGGTTTATTTTTTACAAATAGTACATGGACTTTCCTTTGGATGTTAGAAAAGTTTGGTAAGTCAATCTATTTCGCAATGACTAGATTATTTTCTTGTAATTAAGAGATCTTTTCTGGTAATCACGAGAAAAATTAGCTCGTAACAGCAAGACAATTTCCTCGAAATTAAGAGAAAATTATCTCCTACTAAAGAGATTTTTTTCGTAATTAAGAGAAAAATTTCTCGTAAGTACGAGATCATTTCTCTTTATTAAAAGATAATTGGCGTTTATATTCTTTAAAACTTGATACTATATGACTTTCATAGATTGTTTTAATACTGATATTGAAATAAAAATAATTTGAAGTGTCTAGGATATTTTTAAGGGAAAAAGTATACTCAAAGCTTCAATGTATTACACACAAATATGTAAAATTTAGTGACTTTATGTATAAAACTGTGTCTTTTGGTGTATTTTTTCACTTCACAATATATTTTCAAAGAAAATATTTTCTAATTGAAAGAAAGATTTAGTGAAAATGGGTATATAAAATAAATAAAGAAGTAGGTTATAAAGTTGTTTTTTTTATCTTTAATTGCTTATCATCATATTGGGCACATATTTTTAAAAAAATACTGAGGAGATTTTCTCTATGACAGTCAAGCACGTATTGACACAATTGACATTATTCTTTGTCCGGAAAACATGTATTGTACCACTCTTGTACTAGGAACAATTATTTCTCCGACCCACTAATTTAGAGCTTTGACCAAGAATTCTAAGGATTTACTATATGAGTGACACTGTTACCTATTTCACCTATAAACAAGATTGCACTAGGTGTTAATATAGATAAAATCATTTACACTAAGAAATCAATAAATGGGGTAAAAATAGCTAAAAAGCGTTATATTCGTAGAAGAATTGTCTTGACGGCTAAAAAGCCGAGGCAGTTGCCTTTCAAATAGGGTTATTCTATTTTGGGCATCATACACTATACCTACACAAAATTATCACTATCATCTGTACTAAATAATCAAATTTACAAGAAGTGTTAGTGGGTTAAGAGCTCTTATAACTCCACATGGCTCTATATATAGAGAGCTAAAAACAAAAATGATGTAGAAGAATTCGGTTTTTAAGAAAAAAAATTCTAACTTTGATTTTAAAATTAAAAATGAAAAACCGTATTGTATCCTTCTTTAAAGAGTTCATGAAGATTGTTCTACTGAGTGAAATATTATTTGAGAATGGA